CACTGCTGATTACCCCTGTGTTTCTTCCCAGGTGTATTCTGTTCACTCATTAGTTTTCAGTGTATTTTAGTTCTGTCCTGTCTCTGTCTGATTGTTGGTTCATTGTGCTGTGTTCCCCTGCCTGTGATACAGTACCTCTCCGTGGTTCTGCTGAGTAACCTGTAAGTTTTGCTGCCTTCAGCCCTCTTTTTGTTCTTATTAAACCTTTTTTTGCCTTTTTGGATTTTTGCCTGTGCCCTGTGTTTTTCTCTGCTAGAATCTGTCAGTTAGTGCTCCACATGTATGGTGGGAGTGACTCTCAGCTACTACTACAACTTAGATTTAAGGGGGCAATATCATGTAAAATCAACTTTTTTGAGTTTTATATAATGTAATACTCTCATAAAAAAAACATGCCCAAAGCCTTGCTTTGACTCATTCTTGCATGTTCGAGAAATCCTGCAGTGATTTTAAGAAGCCATGCTGAGGAGCAAAACGACAGGTAGGGACCAGAAACACCCCTGGGAAGTGTCTTTAAGCCGAACTTCCTCATGGCTGGGCCCCCCACTTCCCCACACACCCCACCCATGACTCCTGCAGGCTCTCAGGTGAAACTGAAAGTGAAAATAATTGTATAGGTATTCTGGCTCTCTCTATCAAGAATGAGAACATCCTCATCTCTGAAAGAGTGACCGCTGGCCTGTAAATGAGTGAAAACTGCAGAGTTCTGGCCATTAGATGTAGCTAGTCTGTGTTGGGACATTCTTTTGAACAGAGAAACGTTTCATTAGAGAAGAACCCGTCCAGAAGACCTATACAATTTTCTTCTTTTTGATTTTTTACCTGGATTACTGAGATGCATCAGGACGCATTTTTTAAGTTGTATTACCTGGTTGGGAGCAGTGAGTTTTATTTATTATAATATATCAATTGTTTTTTATGATAACATGATACTGTTTAAAATTTCACTTGGGAGTAATTAATCAAGTAATCAAGTCTGTCTGTCTATATTTTTAACACAAAAGAGAGGGTAGAATTAATGTATAGAATACATTTTACTCAAGTTGAAAAGTACTAAAGTAAAAATGCCACAACAGTTTTTTCTTACGTCTTTTACATTTTGCAAAACGATTCAAGAAGTAATGCCTCTCGTTAATATGTTGTGAAACTTTAAAGGGAGGTGGAGGCGGTCATTTATTAAAGTCTGTCAAACTAATAGCCCTTGCAGAGTGATTAATGCATTTTACACAGACCCTATGTACAGTAAACAACGTCTCATCAAATACATTAAATCTCTGACAGAAAAAAACTCCGCATAATAATGTAGAGGTGCCACAAGATGCAGTTACAACCAACAACTGAGGAGAATTAAGTCAATGTTTGCCACCTAGCGTAAACCACAGACATTTTAGAAAATCAAGGGATGTAAGAAAAATCAAAAACAAGGGCAAGCTGAAAACAGCTGGCACAAGGGTTGTGCAAACATAGAAGAAGAAAACAGCAAACAGCCTGAGAGAGAGAGAGAGAGAGAGAGAGAGAGAGAGAGAGAGAGAG